CCGCCCCTACCTGAGTGCAGCACTTTGATCTTCTCCTCGGCTTCCCCCAGGCGAGCGGCCAAGGTGAGCTGAGCCTCCTGCAGCCCCCTGCACCAAGAACGCGTCAGCGCACGGGGACGGCGGCCGGGCCCCGCGCCGGGCCCGCTCGCCTCCCCGGCTTGCAATTCCCTCTTTTTCACCCCATTCTCCAATGCAGCCTTCCCTCTGCGCCACCGAGAGCTCCCTGGTGGTGTTCTCATTCCCTCAACACACACACGAGGACATCCTGCATCCCCAGGATGAGACGGGCCTTCTTGTAACTGGGATGGGAAGCGCGTATTGGGATCTCTCCAAGGGAGAATGGCAATTTTCATTAATTGGAGGGGGGAAGCAATCAGGGGAAAGTTCTACATTATTTATAGCTCGCACTTGCCAGGAACTTCCTCGGAGGGATGTGTAATTTAGGGTTTAAAGACTGCGCGCCTGCTTGCGGCTGCGGCGTGTTAAGGAATGACAATGAAGCTCCAGCAAAGGCAGCGGCAGAGAAATCAACAGGGCCTTTAATGAGGTTCATCCACCCACCTTGATGCAACTGCCCAGGCAGCCCCCAGACCCGTCCTGCCTCCGAGACGCCCAACAACCCCCTGGCAAGTGCGGGGGGACAGAGGGACGCTCGGAGCGCGGGGCTGCCGCGAGCTGCGGGCCGGCTTTGAGGCAGGATGTGCAGGTAGCCAGACCTGGGTCTCCTCCCAAGTGCGACTCCGTCCCCGACCGTACTCACGTACTTCTGCTTTTCCGCCTCATGTCTCTGCAGGGAGGTTTCCGCGAAGGCTGCTTTGCTCTTGGTGCCGGCGGGGCTGCTGTCGTCCGGCGCGGCGAGCCGGGCCGGGGACGCTCCCTCCCGCTGCTCTGTGGGGGAAGGAATCTCACGGATGCGGCATGAGATAGGGAAAGGGGGGAAAGCAGGGCCAGATGGGTGCCCCAAAACAGCTGTGAGACCAGCAGGATGATGCGCACTGGGATGCATCGCATTGGGATGCAACGTGTTGGGATGTAACACATTGGGATGCAATGCATTGGGATGCAACGCGTTGGGATGCAACGCATTGGGATGCAGCGCGTTGGGATGCAATGCATTGGGATGCAACGCGTTGGGATGCAACGCATTGGGATGCAGCGCGTTGGGATGCAATGCATTGGGATGCAACGCGTTGGGATGTAACACATTGGGATGCAGCACGTCGGGATGCAGCACGTTGCGATGCAGCGCATTGGGATGCAACGTGTTGGGATGTAACACATTGGGATGCAGCACGTCGGGATGCAGC